ACTATTATAAGTCCAGCCGGTGGCTTGCTGCCACGTGCTGAAATCTGCAGCATTCAGAAGCATCTTCTTCTCTGCCAGTTTAGCCATGGCCTCCTGGATGGATTGGTCGGTCGCAAGCGAAAGCTTACTTTCTCGGATCTCAGAGGAACCGACCACGGGGAGCCCACTGCTGTGCAGGATATCACATCGCTGTGCAATTACATTCCTGCATAGCATGCACATGCGGGTCCCAGCATCCCCCTTGCAGCTCCATAGAGCTTTATGGGCACCACCGTCTTGAACGATCATTGATAAAACCACCCGGAAGAGGACGGGCGGACCTCCTGGTCGCTGCAACGATATGCACCCGTGCTCCAAATGGTTGGCCGGTCGCATGAATATGTCTCGCAGGATTTTCGAGATCCATTGAGAAACACCTGCTTCGGCCTTGGCCATCAGGCTCGATCGGAGCAATCCTACGCAAAGCCACGACTCCTCGTGCTGCAATGCATAGCTTCCAAGTTCTACGAACGAGGCATAGCAAGCCCAGATTTTTCTCTTCGTCTGGACTGCTAATGGATTACCCGGGACGATCTCGTCCGTATACAGGATCAGCCGCCATGCCTTGCTGGGGCTCGGGGGATTCTTGTCGATGCACGCCCAAAAATATCGGGCAAAGTTGCTCTCGGCATCCGAGATAGCAGCTTGGAGCAGAGCCCAAAAATCGACACTGGGTATCTGCAGCTTTGCACCATCTGTCTGCAAAAGTGACAGACGATTGAGGATCCTATTCTCTTTCAGGGGTTGCCAGGCAGCCTCGGCTATATGTTTTCTTTGTGTGAGTTCCGGGACACCCTCCTCCCGGAGAACTTTGCAAACTTCGGACAAAGCCGAGGCTGTGAGATGGGGCAATTTCCTTCTCAGAACATTCACCTTCTGAAGCTTCGCTGGTCTTTCAGCAAAAGCATCGGTGCTGCTGGAGGCCATGGCCCTATATACTCACCACGGCACCGCACCAACAGCAAATGCCGGAACATCTCCGTGGAGAGTCCCTTCTTCTCCCTGTGCCTGCAGCAGCAAGCAGCCACATACACGCCTCCGTGGAGGCTTCCACACGCCTCCGTGGAGGCTTCTCGCATCCTTGGATGCTGGGTCTCCATGGCAACAACAAACCAAGCAAGAGGACGGGTGACACAACAAATGGCCCCAGGAAGGCATGCCTGTCTGCGAACACAACTGCACCAAACCTTCTCCGTGCTCGACTCTGGGCATCTGTATGCATGCTGCACGGCTGCTTGGGTTCGGCTTTCCGCTGCTGAGAGAACACAAACCGGCAGGGCCGCGAAACCCTCAAAATATGATATAGAAAAAACTAGATCATATAAAAACAAACGCAATCATATGATATAGTATAAACTATATCATATGAGGTCAAAATATTGCATATGATATAAAAAATCTATATCATATGACATCTGGCCCTTCAGACTTATATGATATAGTTGAAACTATATCATATGGCCAGTGAGGCCATCATATGATATAGTATATGCTATATCATATGGATTCCTTCCAATATATATATGATATAGTAAAAACTATATCATATTTTCTGTGGTTGGATAAGGTTCCTATCTTAAGGTTAACAGAAAATTGTTCTTGAAAACAACCCCTAAACCCTAAACCCTAGAAGAGAAAAAAGCGCGGAGACACTCTTTTTTCCACCAGACGGCAGCCGGCACTCTGTTTTTTTCGGAAGACGGCAGACGGCTGCGCCGAGCTAGTACCGCTGCCTCAGCTCGTGACAAGCTATTTGAAACAAGCTCGTCACGACCTTGCCGTAGCTCCCCGGGCCTCCTTCCGGATCCTCCGGGTCCTTCTTGTCCGGCATTGGGACGTGATCAACGTCCCGTACCGGCGACTCCTGTCGCTTTCGCTTGGCCTTAGCCTTGCTGCCCTTCGTCTTGGTCTCCTTTCCGGTCTTGCCAGCCTTAGCTGGCATTTTCCTGGGCAAAAGCTTCACCGGCTTTCGATCCTCTTTGTCATCCTCGGGATCAAGCAGGGAGATTGTCTCTCCTGCCCCCGGCTTTTTTCTCTTCTTCGTGCCCTTAGGCTGCTCAGGACGAACCTTCTCAGCTTCCGCATGGGCCTTGGCCCCCGAGGGGCCGGAGTCGCCTCTCACATCACCATAGCCATAGCCATGCTGGGACCCCTGGCCCTGGCCCTTGTTGCCGGAATCCCCCACTGTGGGACTTCGGACTCCTCTTCGCTCTCCTCTTGCCTCCCGGGCTGCCAGTGCTCCTGGAACCGCCGCTTTGCACGGGCTGCAGCAGCCTCCTTGGAAAGCCCTTGGGCTATGTATTTCCAAGTTCGGTGGTAAACCGACAATCGGTGCTGCCGACGGGCGGCCGCATGCTCCTGGATCCACCTCCAGCAAATCCCGCACTTCTTGGACGGGCCCTTGGGCCCGTCCGAAGGCTTCTTGTCCTTCTTCTCTTCTGCTGCCTTCTCATCCGCCCCGTTCTCCTTCTCCTTTTTCTCTGCTCTCTCTTCTTTTTTTTCTTTTCATCCTTCTCCATTTCCTTTTTCTCCTTCTTTCCCTTTTTTTATCTTTCTCCTTCTTTTCCTTTCTGGCCTGCCGTCTTCTGCCCAGGACTGGAGAGCTGCCTGGGATGCCGCGATCCTGGCTTTTGCAAGCCTTTGCTCCAGCCTCTTCCTGCCGGCGGCACTTATCGGCCATTCAGGAGCGGTCGGCTCACCCAGAGAAGGGACTCTGGGCTTCGAGGCCGCAGCCTCCGAGGCCGCCTCCTTTGGCTTCGCCTCCTCCGGCTGCTCCTCCGGATCCTTTTCTTTGTCCTCGGACTCAGTTGCCTCCTCGGAGGCCTCAGTTTCCTCCTCAAACTTCTCCTCCTCCTCTTTCTTCTTCTCGTTCTCCTCTGGCTTTTTGTTGCCATCCTCCTCCTTTTTCTTGTGGTCCTCGGACTCTTCATGAGATCTCGACCGTGGTCTTCGCCGTTCTTTTCTATCCTCTGAGCTCGAGCTCCTCCTCCTTCTATCCTGGTCCCGCTGCTTGGGCATGGCCGACGACTTCGCCTGGCCAGGACAAAAAAAGGGTTTAGAGGATCGGGGAGGGTTTAGGGTTTAGGGAAGATCCCTTATCCCTAAAAACCTTAGACTCTTTTTAGCACATGTATATATATATATATACATATAGTATATATTTGGTGCATGCCGTGGCATGCACCCACGAGGAAACCGTGGTCTCCATATACTTCTCTCCCAAAGCAAAGCAAACCGTGGTCTGCTTGCTTTGCATGCTTGCCAGCAGATGCAAACAAACCTTGGTCTGCCTGCATTCTGCCGGCCAGCACGGTTGCCGAAAAGCAACCCCTGCCTGCATCACTGACTAAGCAAACCGTAGTCTGCTAGCCAGCTCTGCAGGAGACCGTGGTCTCCTCTCACAGACAGATGGCAAACCGTGGTCCACCACAATTATAAGGAAACCGTAGTCTCCCGGCTTTGTCCAGGAAACCGCAGTCTCCCGGGCTGCCACTATAATATATATATATCTATATCTGTATATGTTTCGTTTGAAAGAAACTTAAAAGGATCCCTTGCCTGGCCTCGTAAAAAAGGCCAGCCCGCATCCAAGGGCTCCCTACAGGAGCCCAAACAGCTGCAAACACCGGCGCAAACTTCACAACCTGCACATGCGAGGCTACAAGTCAAACAACTGCATGCACATGAGACAACAAGGCTTTGCATGGTTTTCCTGAAGCAAACGAACCTTCAGTCCACTAGCACCCCATGCTTCCTCCGTTTGGAGGGCTGCCCCTGGCTTTTTGCTGCCCTTTTGGCAGCCGCAGTCGCCTCAGCCTCATGCAGCGGCAGGGGATCCAAGGGCCGGGCCTTGGCCCCGGCTTTTTTGACAAGCAAATACCTTCTGTCGTCGCCTGTCCGTTGAGCCTGGCGGCCTTGGCCGATTTTCACGACTTTGTCCTTCGCAGCAGTTCCCTTAGGAAAGCTTTGCCGTGCTCTAGTCTGAAAAGACTCAGCAGTAAGCACGGCATTTTGTGTTGCTTCAAAGAACAGTGCCATATCATCCAAGTGGACTTTGGGCACATCCGTGACATGGCCCGCCTCCAGGACACGGATCTCCTTTTCCATCCAGGCAACCTTGAGCACATTCTTTTCTGCTCTTGCTTCCCTGGAAGCACGGCGGGACAAGCGAGTCTTCGCTGCTTTTCTCGGAGAGCTGCCTGTTACAGACACTAAAGCAGCCTCGCTGTCTTCCCCGCCGAAAAGGCCAGAGCTCTGTTCTTTCAGTTTCTCTGCCTGCCGCTTGGACTGCTGCTCCTTGGAGGCATCGTTTCGGGAGCCCACGAGCGATAGATAAACATCGCTCTGGGACAACGACGACTTTGCCGGGTATTTTGGCAGTTTTATGCTATGCTGCTTAGAAAGCAGCTTGCACAAGCCCGGGCTCCATGGACGAAGTAACACAAACGGACCATGGTCCGTTTCTTCTAGCTCCTTGTCACCCAGAGTCCAGCTGGCACCATCCAGCTTCAGGACATATTTTCTTTCGATTACCAGCGGCATTGTACCTATATATAGCCTTGAGCCGAACTTTATGGAAAGATCAACAACACGTGCCTGCAAACCATCCTTGAATTCATACTTGCAAAAAGCGTCAAAAAGTTCCATTGCAGACATCAACCTTGGCTCCTTTTCCCGGAAAACTCAGCAAGCGAGAACTCTCGAGTGACTCAAGAAGCCTTTCGCTTTCGCGAGGCAGTGGCTCCGGATCCTTGATCCAGCTCTTGGGCCGAGGCCCTCAAACTTTCGGCAGGCTTCGGCCTGTACAGGATGCACTCCTTCGGCGGAGCAGTGTTCTTCAAAATGGGAATCTTCCAGCCCTTCTCGTTCAGAAGGACTGTCGCCAGATTCGGCTCTGAGCCGACCGGGATCTGCCAGAAGGCAGATAGCAAACTTGCGGCTGCAGCCGGGGGTGAAATAATTTACAAGCTTGTGCCCGAGGCCGAATGCCAAACCTCCACACTGCCAGCTGCCGGCTTTAAGCCAACCTTTGAAATCTGATCCGTGAAGGGGAAGATCGTCAGCTTGCCTGTCTTGGCTTTGCCCTCCAACAGACAGCACGTGGGATTCTTCAAAAAGGTCAACTCCTCTTCACAGTGCGAGTACTTCAGGAAATACTCGCAGCAGAGCTCGAAGAACTCTCCTCGGAGTCTCTCTTGGCTGCAAGCCTCCGGGCAGTCGGTCCACAGAGTCAGACACCACTTCGGGTGCATCTCCGCTATACAGCTCGAAAAATTTCTTGAGCTCGCTCAGAGGCACCTCGACCTTCTTGTCCCAGCTCACTGGGCAAGACAGCGAGAAAGAGCCGTGGCTCTGGCCGATTTTCTCCAGCTTCCAAGGCCAGATGTCCTGATACTTCTGCTTGCCTTTGTACAGGTTCCCCTCTGCGAAGCCTTGCAGCTTCATCAGGAAGGCCGGGTCCTGCATGTTCTCCAAGGTCGCAGGGGCCGCATCAGACGGCCCATCTTTTGCAGCAGCAGCCGGTGTTGCACCGGCACTCTTGCCACCCATCTCGTGTTCGTACAAAGTCAGCAAATTGGCCAATGACCCGTGCTCAATGCCGTCTTGCCCCGACTTCTCTTTCTTGCACATGAACAGGGTGCTGCGAACCATCAGGCGACCGAAGCACTCAACTGCCTTGGCACGTGCACTTGCCTCCGTCACATTCTGAGTGCACGAGCAAGAAGCTCCTCCCAATCCTTTACAGCATCTTCCATGCCTTTCGCACAGAGCCTGCTGACATCGCTCTTGTTCAGCAGCCGAGCCACACCGTCTACCACTTTTGTGGCTGTCAGGTTCGTCGCGATCATCGCAGCCCTCGCGAAAGCATGCGATCGCTCCTGCCCTGCAAACCGGAGGCCGGCGACCGTGGACATGAATTCCTCTCCCAATCTTTTGCTTGCCCCATATTTCAAGGAAAAGTCGTGCAAAAACTTCAGCAGAGGTGCTTCGGTTCCTCCTGCATAGAATCTGCAGAACAACCCGCAAGCGGCCACGGTCTGTGGCGAGGCATCCGGCACCGTGGCTGCTACATCAGCTTGCACAACATCCCAGTCGATGCACAAACCTTGCTCTGCCAGCAACTTTGCTCGGGTCACCATCGCCATGGCGAGCTCCAGCTCGCCTGCCGTTCTTGCAACTCCTTGGGCTGCATTCATGACTTCCTGAACGAAGGAGGCCAGCGAGGGCAGTACTGCATCAACTTCCGCTGACAGCACCAGCCACTCCCATCCATTATCCACGGCCTGCCGAAAGTCCGTAGACAATCGCTGCAACGTGAGCTTGCCGTTGTCCGACACCGTCTCTTGGTCCGAGGGACATGCTGCAATGCAGGCACGGCAAAATGCCGTAAAGTGACTGCATGCTAACGACATGTATCGCTCATCGCCTCGCACCTCAGCTAGCAGCCCTCCATTCATATCCACTTGCCGCTTGTTGAAACTAAAGGCCTTTTGGCTCAGAGCTCTATCCGTGGATATTTCCATGCAAACACTTCGCTTCAGCTCCATGGAGCTGAAGCCTACAGATTGCACTTGGGCCCCTGTCTTGTGAACTTGGGCTCCATTCAATCCTAACCCTGAGCGATTCGACGGGTGCACCAGGACTTGACCCGGCCGCAGCACCTGCCTGTAGCACTTCCTGCTCTCCTGCAGGATAGTTTCGATCTCCGTCCATCTCTCCAATGCCGGAGCATCTTTCTTCAATGCCTGCTCCACGGCCGTAGCCCAGGCAGGCTTCATCTTTTCCAAGTTCTCTTGAAAAAAACGGCTGCATGGCAACAGGATATGCATTTCTTGTCCGCCCTGCCCCCCCCTGTATACACGAAACACCCTTCAAACACAAGTCATTTACGTGCCTAACATAGTCATTTCCCTATATAAGAACTGTACTTCAAAAAGTTATGTTAACTTAGCTAAACTTTAGCTAAACCCCCTAACCTTTGTAAATGTTTAACATACTTACACCACTTATGTAAACACTTAGCTAAGTCTCTTAACAGTTGTATTTGTTTATCACAGTTATAAGTGATTTGCAATATAGATACAACCGGGTTGCAAGCTATTTAACAACATGCTTGCAATCTATATAAACACTTACAAAGCCACGGTTCTTCCCAGTATACCTCCAGTTCCGCCTCCGGTTCCGGCGCTCGCGGATCTACGAGAAGACCCTGCACGGGAACCCGTGCCACTGGAGTGGCCGCGGCCGTCGCCGCCACCTGCCTTTCCACCGCCTTTGGCCCACTGCGTGAAGCCACCCATCTGGTCCGGGCGACCAAGCAGAGGTCCGCCACGGGACCTTGGCAAAGGAAAACAGGAAGAGCAGGGGCGGGCGTCGCGACACCCGTTCTCTACAAGCACAGTTGAGAGGAAGTGCTGCGGCGGCAGAGGGGTTTCCTGAGGGGTCTGGGGGAAGCAAGGCACTCGCACAGACAGAGCTACCCTACACTCCTGCCTACACCTTGCAACCTGCAATGACCTTCCAGACCTACACACCACACTGCTGCAGCACTCACGTCCTAACGACCCTAACGAAAACGACGAAACGAGCCGCAACACGGAAGGCGTACAGTGAGACCTGCCCCGCGCGTCCAACACGAACACCGCGAACAGCCCACGCGCAACCCCCCCGAACCAACCCCTAAACCCACAACCCCGAAACCCTCCGGATTCGGCACCCTCCCGCGGGGACCCGCCGGGAAAAGCCCGGGTGGGGTGGTTGGTGTCCGCGCGCGCCGCGTCGTGGTGCGCGCCGCGTCCTGGTGCGAGCGCTTGTCCCCTTCAGGGGCAGGAGGCGCCGCGGGCTCCGCCGCGCACGCACTCCCTTTCGGGTTGGCCTTGAACCCAAGGGCTTCCATGGCCGACTCCGCGCTCTGGGGAGGCGCACAGGCCTCGCTTATCGCCTGATCGGCGTAGGATCGTCCACGTACGCGATCCATTCCTTCGTGTACCGGAGGCGACGCCCACGGCCCGGGGGCGTACGCCCGGTCCACAACGAAGTTAAAGTCGTCCGGCCCGCTCACGGGACCGAACGTCGAGTTCACCTTGACGAGACGCAGCAGGGATTTCATCCTGCGCCTCGGAGAACGCGTGGCCTATCGTGGGGCGCGTGGGGGCCCGAAGTCGTGTAGACTGGGGCGCGTCACTCAGGTGGCGCCCAGGTGGGCGTGCACCGCAAGGGGCCAGAACTCAGCGGTGTCCGCGTTAGGTGGGCCCTCGCTTACCTGACGGAGGTCGCGAGGGTGGACCTTGCGGAGGCCTACTCGCAGGTTTTAGCGGCAGTGTTGTCTGAAGTCCCTGCTTCCCCGGAGTTAGCGGCTGTTCGCGCGTGGGTTTCGCGCCACTTCGAAGGCGGTTGCCTCGACCTGCTGGAGGTTTCCTGGGGCGGTGCGGTCGTCTCTGACGCAGCCCGCTCCTGCGGTTACCGTGTTGGCCCGGTGGTTCTTCACGGGCAGCCTTCACTTACGGCGTGAAGTGGGATTTGAGCAATCTCACGCACGTCGCGGCCGTGACTGGCGCGATAGACCACCTCAGGCCTCGGCTTTTGGCGTTCTCCCTCTTGGGCAGGTCCCTGCCCCAACCCTTGCTGCAGGCGGTGGTTTCCCGCGCCTCCGGGCGCGCAGAATACCTCGCCGTGTGCTTTGCAGCGGAAGACGGGGATACACGCCGTGGGGTCTAGAAGAGTGGAGGAAGTGTTTTGGGACATTGTCCGATCCGGTCTGGCCTTGGGTCTTCGTCCGGTCGGATACCTGTCAGTTCCTGCGCCCCACGCATCGCGGGAATCCGGTCGTCTGTTTTGGCTCTCCGACTTCGACCTTTCGCGTTTGGGCTCCAGGTGCTCGAAGCCGGACGTGTTGGGGGCTGTTCCCCACGAGCACGGTAGGGGCAAGGTTACGGACTTTAACTTTCAGGGCACGGCTATCTGCGCGACATCGGTCTGAGGGCCGGCAGTGATACTTCGCCGGAGGCGGTCTGCGGCTGCGAGCCCTGGGCCGGCGCCTTCGGGCGCGGCGCCAGTCCCGGAGATGCTTCTCCCGGACGTGAAGTCAGGAGAAGAGCTCTCCCGCTCACCGCAGAGCGCGCAGAAGTCGAGGACATCGCGGCTCGTGTGGAGGCCTACTGGAAGGCCAAGGCCGACGCCCGGGACTGGGATTCGGTCCGGGCGGACCTGATCCTCGCAGAACCGAGGAGTACCGGGTCAAGATCGAGCCCGGGCCGACCAGGCCGCGGGGTTCTGGGCGGAAGGAACGACCCGGACTACGGTCCGGAAGTTCGCCCATGATTGCATGTTGACCCGGTTGACTGGTTTCGTCCCAGCCGCACGCCCTTGAGGGCGAGGCGGCCCAGTGAGTGGACGACAGGCTGGAGGAGGAAGTCCAGCGGGGCCAACTGGTCCGCGGACCCTCGGCCTGGGGTTCGGCGCCATTTCCCACAAAGGAAATGCCACAAGCGGGCGCGGAAGCGCGGCTTGGTCGTCGATAATTACCGGCGCGTGAACGCCCGGGTCAAGCGGTCGACGTACTTCTGCAGGCGGAGTACCGACGTACTCGCCGCGGCGGTTGGCAGCGTGTGGTACACGTTTGTCGACGCTGTTAGCGGGTTCAAGCAGATCCGCAACACGAAGCGAGCGCGGGAAGTGCTCGCTATCGTGGCCCGCTCGGGAAAGTACCTTCCCGTGGGGCTGACTTCGAAGCGACAAAACTTGAGACATCCCAGCCAAGATCTTAACCACAAACCCATCAAAGTTGAGGTATCCTAACCGGGATCTTAACCACGAAGCCGCAAGACTTAAGGAATTCCAGGCGCATCTTAACAACAAAGCCACAAGATTTAAGGTATCCCAACCGGGATCTTGACCACGAAGCGACAAAACTTGCTATCTCTAGTCCACGAGACCGCAACACTTGAGGTACCCCAACCGAAATCTTGATATGTAGACAACGGCACCTGAGATATCACAGCCTGGATCTTGATCACGAAACCTCAAAACTTGAAGCGTTCCATCCGGGATCTTGAACACGAAGCCACAAAACTTGAGGTATCCCAACCGGGATCTCAACTGCGAAGCCACCAGACTGGAGAAACTCCAACCGGGATCTTGAGCACGAAGCAACAAAACTTGAGGTATCCCAACCGGGATCTTGACCACGAAGCCACCAAACTTGAAGTAACACAACTGGGATCTTGACCACGAAGCCACAAAACTTGAGATATCCCATTCGATATCTTGACCACGAAGCAACAAAACTTGAGGTATCCAAACCACGATCTTTTCACGAAGCCACAAAACTTGAGGTATCGCAACCGAGATCTTGGTCACGAAGCCACAAAACCTGGAGGTATACCGACCGTGATCTTGGCCAGACCACGAAGCCACGAAACTCCAAGTATCCCGATCTTGGCCACGAAGCCACAAAATTTGAGGTATCCCAACCGGGATCTTAACCAAGAATCCACAAAACTTGAGGTATCCCAATCGGGATCTTGTCCACGAAGCCGGGTCTTGACCACGAAACCTCAAAACTTGAAGTTTGCTAGGCCGGGATCTTGACAACGAAATCTAAGTTTTGAGGTATCCCATCCGGGATCTTGGCCAGGAAGCCACAAGACTGGAGGTATCCCACTCGGGATCTTGATCTCGAAGCCACAAAACTTGAGGTGTCCCAACCAGGATCTTGACCATGAAGCCAGCTTACTTGAGGTGCCCCAGCTGGCATTGTTTCGACGAAGCCCCAAACCTGGATCTTGATCACGAAGCGACAAACCTTGAGATATCCCATCCGGGTTCTTGACCACGGCGCCACATAGCTGGGCGTATTCTGGCCGTAACTTGGCCAACTGGAATCTTGATTACGAATTCACAAGTATCCCACCTGAGTTCTTGGTTACTACAACCGGTATTTTATCGCGAGCCACAGGTATCTATACCACGACTACACAAAATTTGAAGTATTTTCAACCGGGATCTTGATCATCTTGACAAAGAAGCCACCAAACTTGAGGTATCCCGGTATCCCGATCTGGATCTTGGCCACGAAAAACAAAACTTGAGGTATCCTGATCGAGTCTGGGCCACGAAGCCACGTCACTTGAGGCATCCCAACCGGGGTCTTGACCACGAAGCCTCAAAACTTGAGGCATCCCAACCGGGGCTAGACCGCGAAGCCACAACATTTGAGGCATCCCAACCAGGATCTTGACTTCGAAGCGACAAAACTTGAGACATCCCAGCCAAGATCTTAACCACAAATCCACCAAAGTTGAGGTATCCTAACCGGGATCTTAACCACGAAGCCGCAAGACTTAAGGAATTCCAGGCGCATCTTAACAACAAAGCCACAAGATTTAAGGTATCCCAACCGGGATCTTGACCACGAAGCGACAAAACTTGCGATATTTCTAGTCCACGAGGATCTTGACCACGAAGCCACAAACGCCACAAACCTTGAGGTATCCCAACTCGGACCTTGACCACCATCCGGGATCTCAACCACGAAGCCACCAGACTGGAGAAATTCCAACCGGTATCTCGACCACCGAGCCACAAATCTTGAGGTATCCCTACCACAAATCTTGAGGTATCCCAACCGGGATCTTGGCCACGAAGTCGCACAACTTGAGATATCCCAACGTGGATCTTGATCAGAAAGCCACAAAACTTGAGATGTCCCAGCCGGGATCTTGATCACGAAACCTCAAAACTTGAGGCATTCCAGCCGGGATCTTGGCGACGAAAACACAAAACTCGAGGGATCCCAACCGGGATCTTGACCACGAGGTCGCACAACTTGAGATATCCCAGCCGGGATCTTGACCTAGAAACCTCAAAACTTGAGGTATCCCAACAGGTCTTAACTGGGATCTTAACGACGAAGCCACTAGACTTGAGGTATAGCAACCGGGATCTCGACCACGAAGCCACAATTTTTGAGATATCCCAACAGCCGGGATCTTGACGACGAAGCCACACAACTTGAGGTATCCCACCGGGATCTTGACCACGGAGCCACAAATCTTGAGGTATTCCAACCGGGATCTTGGCCACGAAGCCACAAAACTTGAAGTATTCTAACCGGGATCTTGGCCACGAAGCCACGAAACTTGAGGTATTTCAACCGGGATCTTGACGACGAAGCCACAAAACTTGAGGTATCCCATCCGCGATCTTGACCACGAAATCTCAAAACTTTAAGTGTCCGAGCCGGGGGTCTTGACCAGGAACTTGAGGTATCCCGACCGGTATCTCGACCATGCCAGCCGGGATCTTGACGACGACGGCGCAAAACTTGAGCTTCCCCAACCGGGATCTTGAACACGATTTCTAAACCAGGGTCTTGATTACGAAACCACCACGTTTGACGTACCCCAACCAGGAGCTTGAACACCAAGCCACAAAATTTGAGGTATCCCAACCGTGATCTTGACCACGAAATATCCCAACCGGGATCTTGACGACGAATCCCCAAAACTTGAGATATCCCAACCGGTAACTTGGCCACGAAACCTCAAAACTTGAGGAGCTCCAACCGGAAATATGGCTACGAAGCCACGAAACTTGAGGTATCCCAACCGGCATCTTGATCACGAAGCCACAAAAGTTGAGGTATTCCAACCGGGATCCTGACCACGAAACCTCAAGACTTTATGTGTCCGAACCGGGGTCTTGACCACAAAGCCTCAAAACTTCAGCTATCCCATCCGGGATCTCAACCACGAAGCCACCACACTGGAGAAATTCCAACCGGTATCTCGACTACGGAGCCACAAATCTTGAGGTATCCCAACCGGGATCTTGGCCACGAAGTCGCACAACTTGAGATATCCCAACGGGATCTTGACCACAAAGCCACCAAACTTGAGATGTCCCAGCCGGATCTTGAGCACGAAGCCACGAAACTTGAGGTATTACAACCGCAACCGGGGTTTAGTTGACCACGAAGCCACAAAAATTGAGGTATCCCAACGCAATCTTGGCCACAAAACGCCACAAAACTTGTGGTATCCTAACCGGGATCTTGACGAGGTATCCCAGCCGGCGTCTTGTCAACGAAATCTCAAAACTTGAAGTATCCTAGCCGGGATCTTGATCAGGAAGCCTCAAAACATGAGGTATCCCAACCGAGATTTTGACCACGACGCCACCAAACTTGAAGTATATAACACAACTGGGATCTTGACCACGAAGCCACAAAGCTTGAGATATCCCATTCGATATCTTGATCGCGAAGCCACAAAACTTCAGGTATCCCAACCGGGATCTTGATCACGAAGCCACCAAGCTTGAGATATACCAAAAACCAGGATTTTGACCAACAAAACTTGAGGTATCCCAAACGGGATCTTCACCACAAAACCACAATACTTGGGGTATCTCAGTCGGGATCTTCACTACAAAGCCGCAAAGCTTGAGGTATCCCAACAGCCGGGATCTTGACGACGAAGCCACAAAACATGAGGTATCTTGACTTCGAAGCCACAAAACTTGAGGTGTCCTAACCGGGATCTTGGCCACGAAGCCACAAAACTTGAGGTATCCGTTAGAAGGGGCTCCCACCCTGTAATAGTGACCATAAGGATTATATAGGATTATATTAGGGCCCTATTATCTTCCTATTATACCACTATTACAGGGTGGGGGCAGCTTCTAAGGTATCCGGTCCTAACCGGGATGTTGGCCACGAAGCCACAAAACTTGAGGTATTCGGGATCTTGACCACGGAGCTACAATTTTGAGGTATCCCAACCGGGATCTTGACCGCGACGCCGCAAAACTTGAGGTATTCCAACCGGGATCTTGGCCACGGAGCTACAAATTTTGAGGTATCCCAACCGGGATCTTGACGACGCCCACAAACCTGATTGAGGTATCCCAACCGGGATCTTGACTACGAAGCCACAAAACTTGTGGTATCCCACCCGGAATGCTGAAAATAAAACCTCAAAACTTCTAGATATCCCAATCGGGATCTTGGCCACGATGCCACAAGACTTGAGAAATCCCAACCGGGATCTTGAGCACGAAGCCACCAGACTTGAGGTATCCCAACCGGTATCGTGACCACGAAGACACAAAACTTGAGGCACCCCACCGGGGATCTTGACCAAGAACCCTCCAAACTTTGAGTGTCCGAACCGGGTCTTGACCACGAAGCTTGAGGTATCTCAATCGGGATC